CGGATGCCAGCACGGCTGTTTGCAGCCTGGCCACTGTCTGCTGCAAGCAGCTCAGGCTCTGTGGCAGTGGTGGCAGCTGCACACACACCTCAGGGCAGGCAGCGGGAAAGGGGCTGGGGTTGTGCTGCCATGACAAAGATCAGGCCCCTTGCAGCTCCCCTACCATCTTCCCCTGGTACACCAACATCTTCCAAATCCAGGTTGTGGGGGGTTTTGGCACTTGGCCCAAAAATGTTGCTGACTCCTGCCATAGAGGATGCATGCAGGTGGGTGAGGGCTGCGGGCCTGGTCCAACGCATAAACTGTCTCCATGCCATTCATTGGGCCTGCAGGACCAGATGAGTTTGACACCCTTGGTCCAGGGAGGTCTGAAGCTCAGGAGCTGTATAAAAAAAAAAAAAAAAGCCGTTCATTTGGAATTCTGATCATTTTCAGATTCAGCCAATTTAATCTCAAACTCCTTGAATGTGCTATTCAATTTATTATTCAACTCCATGTTCTCATTTAAATGAAGCAGCCACTGAATTTCCAGGTTGGTGCCTGATTTGAAATTTAGTTTGAAAGAATGCACTTCCCAAATGGCATTGGGTCTGCTGTTGGCACTTTTGTGCTCAAAACTTGGCTGCAGCAGAGATCAGATGAATATGTCAGCTGCAGAGAGCACTACTCAGTGGTTATGTAGGAGTCCCTTTTAATGGACTCCTATCACTAGACAGCAGCCTATCACATCCTCCATCAGCCTCTTCACCCCAAATCACACCACAGGTTAACCAAAACAGTAATATGATCCTATGGTCAGCTGGCATACTGAGCATACATCTTCAGCTGAGCTGAATTGCACAGGAAATGTCTAGGGCACAGAATAATGAAGGGTCCAGCATTGACTAAATCTGTAAACTGGCAGGTAACTGCTGGCACATATAAATGGGAAGTAATTAGGTAAAAGGGCTGAAACAGACCCCAAGAATTGTGGAAGGCATTGGAAGAATTTCTAAATGGGCTGAGCTACACATAGTTTAATTGCATCCTCATGGCAAAGTGGGAGAGTTGGAGCCACTGAAAACCATTGAAACATGAACTCTCTCAGCTGTGCAAATAAGTGCTTATGGGTTTTACATGTGGAGAATAGGGGAATCCAGGGTTTAATACATGTGATAAGTTGGGGTAAGCCTGCAGTGTTGACAAACCCTAATTTGAGGAAATGCCACACATGCTGATCTCATATTAAAATGCAAACCAAGGCATCTCGAAATGCAAACAGAATAAATTAGAGCTACTCCTCATTTCAGCCTATGGCAGTTCATTTGCTATGTGTCTAACCCACAGTTACCTGCTTGCCTCTCAGTGAGGCTTGTGCTCCAGCAGCTGAACTATTTTTTACTTGCAAAGAACTTTTATCAAGGTTATAGATGAGTCATTGTTGAGTTTGACACTAAGTCATTTTTCAGCCAGCCCTCCTTTTGATTCAGCTTTGCAATCTGGTCATGACTATCCAATAGTCTAAAGTGACTACATCTACTCATACACCTTTCACTGGGATAAACATTATGCTTTAATTAAAAACAAATATTTACCCAAGGCAAGTAGATGAGTGGAAGTTTACAAGGCCCTGTGCACCCAATCTAGCACACAGGGCCATGCTATCCAGCCCACAGGACTCCCCATGGGTCTATGAATTTGGCAGCAAGGGAGCAGAAACTGCTTCGCTGCCACCAAATTTTCAGACTAGTGGGGAGCTCTGTGGGCTGGATGATGTGGCTCCAGGGGCCAGATTTGTCCCACAGGCCAAGGGTTGAGCACCACTAATCTAACTTGCTGTTCACCATTTTCAAGGATGGAGTCTGCTGCTTCTCTAGGTAGCTTGTCCCAATGCCTGACCACCCTCACAGTGAGAAAGTTCTTCCTAACGTCCAACCTAAATTTCCTCAGCTGCAGTTTGAGGACATTGCTCCTAGTTCTGGCCCCTGCAGCCACAAAGAAAAACCCATTTCCACCCTTTTTATAATTGTACTTCAGGTATGTGGGGTTTGTTATAAAATCCCCCCTCAGTCTTCTCTTCTCTAGACTAAATAATCCTCATTCTTTCAGCCTTTCTGTAGACGACATGCTTCCCAGGCCTCTAAACATTTTGGTTGCTCTCTGATGGATTGTCTTCAATCTGGCCACATCCTTCTTAATGTTTGGGGCCCAGAACTGGACACAGTACTCCAGGTGAGGTATCACCAGTGCCAAATAGAGTGGAAGAATCACTTCTATTGATCCACAAGAGACGATCTTGCATGACAAAGACTAATTTATTTAATTAAAATAGGGAATGAAACTACTTTGGGATTTGTGAGGTAAAGGGACCCAATCAATTTTAGACATTTTCATATAATTTAAAACTGATCAAATAATGTGTTTCTACAGTGCATGGTAGAGTGGGGTCCTGGTCCAGAACTAGGGCTATTGGGTGCAAATGTACTACTACTATTACTGCAGCTGCTGCTGCTACTATTACTGCTACTAGTAGCATGATGACTAGTAAATATGTTGAATTAATCCGATTTGGCCCTTTCAAAACCAATACTGATTTTATATAATTTCTTTGATACTCAAAATATCCATTGAAGAACAAAACTGAGAAATGGACAGTTTCTCAGTCATTCACAAAGGCCTCAATTTTACAAAGTGCTGAGCACTCTGGCTTCAATCCAGCCAAGGCACTTAAGTAGCTGCTTAACTTCAATTAACACGAATAATCCCATTGACTTTAGTGGCTGTAGATGAAGCTCTGGGAGAGTGGAGCACACAGGGGAAGGACTTCCTTTTCTTGCCGGTTTTGAATAACTCAGCAGTATGATTGCCATTATATAGTGATTGTATCATTTCAGTCAGTTTGTCACAAGACCACCCCCCATGTTGATTATAGTGGCACAAATAACAATTGAAATCTTTGCCAATTAGCTTACAGCAACAACTCCTAAACTGCCTGCAAATTCCCCTAACCCCAGGTGTTGGTAAGGGACAGGGTCAGTTTGGACAAGGAGTATGTCAGAGACTCCAGAGCACTGAAATGAAAAGCATGCACCGACAGAGTACAGCTTAAGGATATACAATACAAACACAGAAAATGAGGATATTCTTGAACTCTGGAATAGATTGAAATCTTAGCTGACATTCCTCCATCTGCAGAATTGTGCGCTTTATTGTAACGTCAATATTCTTAACAAGCTAAATTCCAGCTCTTTCCTCCCAAATATATAATCATTGCAGGTCAGCCTGGTTCAAAAGAACAGGACAGCAAAACTAGAAGTTGTTAAGGTGTCTAGGTAATCATTTCTTTCATGCTGATAATATTGATTCAAAATCCTACCTGTTATTTTATGTGTGTAATCAGAGGTTTAAATAAATGCCGTCCACAAAACACTCTAACTTAATAGGCTTATTCAGAACATTCCTATTTGAAAAACTAGGAAATTCTTGATTCTAAATTCTGCTTTTTCTTATCTGAGCTGCACAAGGGTAGCTGGATTGAATATGTAGTGAGTGAATAGAGGTTATGGAAACCCAGTCCAGCTTCCTTTGTTACGGGGTGCATTGGTGGCATAAGGAGTGCTTTTCTATGCCACAGCCTTTTACTTCCTTTGGAATGAGATTTTTCAGGTGTTTTATCTTCTGTCACTGAAATCCAAGGTAAATTTCTCTTGTCAAAATTTTCTCATCCAGAATGGAAGTGTTGTGGTTTGTTCAGTGGTACAGTGCTGTAAAGACATTTCACCCTTGGTGGAATTTTAAGTGCTTGGTATTGCTAGAGTTAGATCAGAGGAGACTGTAATAAGAATAGGTCCTTTTTCCCCATAAAAATCAGTAGCAAAATTCCTTTTGACTTTAGGAGTAAGATCAATCATTGTGTATAATACTCAGGAGAGAGAAAGCAAATCAACTAAAAGTGTGAAACTGGTGCATTATCCATATGTATAGCTGATTTGTCTTTCTTGAGTGTCTGCATGTAGACCCAACCCTATTTTGTCATTAAGGGAACTCAAATAAAAAGTGAGTAGTAATATGCCTTTTGTTTCATCTCAAGATTCCTCCTTCCTGACGCTGAACCTGCTGCCACACAGTGATGATGGTGGCTGCTTCTGTTATCCATACCAGGCCACAGTGCTTGTTAGTATACCAAGCAACCCCACTTAAGCTAAACAGAAACTCATAGGTGTAATTGCAGGTGTGATTTGACTCAACTTTCTGATCAGTTAGCAGGTTACATTAATATTGTAGTTATTATCAAAGATGAGGATAACAGAACAGCTGCAACAGGTGGATATTTAGTAGCCAAAATAAAGCACTGTAAATCAATATTTATTTCATGCCCCGCCAATCCTGTTAAGACCGCTGGGCACACAAAGATGTAGTGATGTGGCAAAGCAGAGGGAGAAGACCCACATTCATGGAAGCGGACCTACACAAAAAAAAAGTATTTACCTTGCAGTCATTAAGGTGCAGTCATTAGGATTATAGTGAATTCCTGTCTTTGGGTCTCCCAAGTTCTCAGACATTTGCTTCCTACCTATGTGTGTCTGTACATGTGTGCATAAGATTTCTTTTGTCTTTGGTTACTATGGGAACACTTTAGTTTCCATTCTGCTCTAAAAACAGTTGGGCTCCATTTTATGGCGTCCAGTAGATCCACATTTTCCAAACGTTTGAAAGGTGAACCACCCTTCAGTAAAATTAAATCCAAGTGTGCCCATCCCCAGCCTCACCATACAGTCTTAAAAGTTTCACATCTTCATGCGTGTATTTTCTGCACTGCTGCCCATGACTAGATACTTGTGCCTCCTGTGGAGGGAGGTACACCCACTTCAAGAAATGGGAGAGTAGCTCATTTTGCAGGCGTGTGACAGAAAATTTTGACTGTGGCTCTTGCAGGCTTTGTTCTGGGCACTCTTAGCAGCACTGTCCGAATACAACACGACTGGCTCTGGGACACATGGATGGAGAAGTCCAAGCTATTAGGGGTCTTCTGGGTTAATAACAAAGGATTGAACTGATACCAGAAGTGAGCACTGGTGTGTAAGATCTTTTCATTGATTTGTTAGTAAAGGCTTTAGTTGCTATGTTCCACACAATTTCCCCCCCCTTCCCCTTGTTCATTGCAATGACTTCAGCATCTGATATTTCAAAAGCCTTTAAAGACTTGAGAAAGTTTTATTACATCCCCTCCAGGTCTGGGAAGAAAAACACTTTCATATTAATATAGTATTTTGAATGAGACTTTTCTACCAGTTTGCCTAGGGCTTCATCCCTTAGAACAGTGTTTTTCAGACTCAAGTCACCCCTTTGGAAAATACCAGCCCATAGTTTTTCACTACTTTTTTGACTACAAAAAATAATAGAGCAATTCTTCTGTTGCAAAGAACTCAGACCAGAGCAGGTCAGAATGCTTCTAACATTATGAATTCCTTTTTTGTTGTAAATCTCGGGTTTTATCTTGCAAATCCCATTTGTACACCAAACAATGCTAACATTGGGTGGCACCTCATGGCACCCTTGAAAGGGTCTCACCAGAGCCAACCTTAGGGAAAATGGTGCCCTGGACAAACTTGTATTTTGGTCACTTTTCTTTGCGTTTTAAGTAGTAGGATTAACAAAAGTTCAGAAATAAAGTCCCGGGGGGAGCTGCTGAGCTGGATCAGGAGACTTGCTTTCTCATGGGCAAGCACCGCTGCTACTCTATGGGAGGACGGTGGGCAGACTGGAGCAGATGCCACCTCACTCACACGTGCCTGGCCTGGCTCCTCTGTGCCAGCAAGGCAGGGCAGGGGTGGATGGGGAGAGACCTGCTGTGAGCATGGGCTCTGTGTGTGCATGTGTGCAGGCAGGTGGGCAGTTGCCCACCTGTAAGGCCAGTCCTGCTCTATGCATCTCACGGGGCCATAGCACCCTGGTTGAAGATCAGTCTTAGAACACTTAGATTAAAGTCCACACTTCCTGCTTACTTTACAGTCACCCTGACGGCTCTGCTGCAGCGTTTCAGCCATGCAATGTGTTCAGGCATCTGTCCTGGGGCCAATTGCAACCCTAACATTTGTACCCAAAGTATCCCTTTACAATCAATCACACATACTCACTAAGCTGTTGACCTCTTAGCTAGGGAAGGTAGGGATCTAAAATGGGGTTCAAACCTCTGTGCCACTAGGTTCAGTGCACCAGGTAAATATATACCTCAGTTGCATGCAGATCCCATTCTAGCAAACAGGTAGGAGCTTTTGCTCGTAGTTCAACAAGTTAAAACCCTCCTTTTCTGACAGCTTTAGTCTTTCTGCACTTCTGAAGCAAGACTAATTAAACCCAAAACAAGGAATAACAGTATTTGAAATTGAATCTGCATAAGCAAATTGCTCCAGGATAAGAGTATATATGGCTTGTGCAACTGGAAAAAAACTACTAAAATATGCTTTGCTATATTCTAAAGGCAAGAGCTGTTAAGGACTCAGGTTGTATAAAACTGTAATTGTTGCATGTAACATTAGCAAATGGTGGGAAAATTACCATTTGTAACTACTGGTGCATTCAAGATGGGGTTGCCTTGATTTGCATTTAGATGGGAATTCCTTCTTGTAGCTCCTCAATCCATTAGGTTTCAGAAAGCAAGAAGGGCTCTTTTTTTCCTTCTGAAGTACTTAGAAGGGCACTAAACTTTGCTGTTGAACCATCAGTTGTACAACTGGCATCCCAAGTGTAACAATAATATTGTAACTGCCTTTTCTGCTTGTGATGAAATGAGTAGTAGAAATGAAGAAAAGGCATTAAGACATCTTTCGATGCTTGTGGGAGTGCATGCCTCTTAATGGAGGACAGCTAATACTTCTCTTGCAATGCTTGAGTAAATGTTTCGTGCAGACTTGTGGTTTGCAACAAGTTTTTTTCTGAGTCTCTACTCAGGCATTGAAGATTAATATGTAACTTTTTATAGAACTCAAACACTGATTGCTTTGGTGTATTTTAATTTAGAATGAAAACTGCTTATCTGGGAAAAGGCAAACCCAATCTTTCCTGGGAAACATACATAAAGAGCTCTATTAGTATGTACTTAGTAATGCTGAATACATTTTTTTCTAGAGATAGGCTAGAACTGTAAATGAACTGCCTTAAACTTAAAGGGTTTACCTAAAATGAGACCCAAAGTTAGAATTCCCCCTACTTTTGTTTTTAGGCAAAAGTGGAAAAGATGAGGACTCTTAAAATCTACCCCATTTTTACCCAAATTCTGCTTGTTTATTATGATTGTTATGCAATATGGGGACATTGGGAGCTATGTTTTATGAAATATAGTAATTTATTTAACAGTCTTATCTCAGTCAAGGCAGCTTTGCCACTGCAGTCTTGATCTCTCTATGGCACCAGTGCTCAACCCCGGCTCGTGGAGCTGCATCTTCTGGCCAGTGGGTCCAGAAATTTGGCAATGGGGGAGTGGTGGCACCATTAATTGCTACTCCCATTAATTTCTGGACCTGTGGGGCACCTTGCAGGCCAAATGATGTGGACCTACTCACTGGCTCACATGGTACGCAGGCTGGGTTCAGCAAGCTGGATGACACCCACGGACTGGCCCCACATGCTGACCCTGCACTGTGAAGTCTACTGCCCCCAGCAGTACAGAAGAAGATCTGTGCATAGCTACAGTCTGAAACAGATTAGTTGTGTTCTGGTCCTTCTGAGACTATAATAATGTTACAGTCCCAGTAGGTAGGGACCTACCAAATTCACAATTTGTGTGGAAACCTTGAATTTGGTAGGTCCCCTGTGAAAAAGTCAGATCCTTACCGCAGGAACTGCAGAAAAGCAGGAAGGTGGGGTGGGGGGGGGACTACAAACAGGTGGGAAGCCCTGGTGTGTGAGGGGCCGTGGAAGTCCAGCCCCTCCATGGAGATTGACTGGTGACCATATATCCATCTCTGGGGAGGGGTGGGACTTCTGGGGGCTCTCAGTCAATCCAAAGCTTGGTCCCACTGCACTCTGCTGCGAAAATGGCTCCCAACGCCACGCTGGGACTACAAAATTCAGAGGCAGCCTCCATGAATTAGGTAGGTCCCTACCAATGGCAGGTAGAGTCCAGTCACTCCAAAGAAGAAAAAGAACATGGATATGCCAAGTGCAAAATTCAGACACCTCACTTTCTCTCTGGTATTATTGTGATGGAGAACAGAAACAAAATCAGGGTGGGTCCTTTCAAAAAGCATTCAGAGGCAAATGGTGATGTCTTTTATCCCAGCGTGAGCGATACTGATATCCAGTCCACGTATTCACTTTCACCGTGGCATTGATCGAAGAGTCCATCCTTCTTTGGCAAAGCATTTAAGTACATGCTTAAGTGAATTGTTGAATAGGGATAGATTTACTAATGTGTTTGTGTTCATGCTTTGCTGAAATGTGACCCGAATGAATACCATTTATTTCCTTTAAAAAGTGTATTGTTTTTGTTCTCCACCCCTTCTGTCAAAGATGAGCTACTGAGCTGCAAAGACTACAAGATTCATTAGATCAGAGAGAGCAGAAGTAAGACTTTGTAAAGCTGGTGGTCAGTGAAGTTACGCGGGAGTGGGCAGACCTGTGATCTAGTCCTTAATCCAAAGACTGTGTATTTGAAAAATTAAGCAGTCATTAGATCTGTAAGTTTGGGATGATACTTAGTTCCTTGCAGCCCTGGAGTGCTTGTGGGATGACTTACTGTCTCTAGAAGGGTCTGGAGATGACAGTGTTAAATGTACTGTCAGCAAATGGCAGCCAGCCAACTCTTGCCTTTTATTTGGTATTATTTTCCTTTCACGGCTCTTAAATCTCATTAATATTCACATTGTGTGGAGATTTATTTTTTTATGCAAGTTGTTCTGCCAGAAATAATACCTTGGTTCTCTGTCCGCCTCCCTCCTTGGAAAACTCAATGAGCTTCTGCAGCCAGTGCTGTCCTGTGGGACCTAACCAAACGTTAATATCCTCTGTACGGGGGCTGTGCCTACTTTGAAGCACCATGCTGGAGCATTTCTACCCCCTAGTGAGATCAGCTGCTACGGCTCAGCAGGGGGGAGCGAACCTACTCCTGAGCAGATGGAATACTTCTTTGAAGCGCTCTCAGCTGACAGAGAGTATGGGTGTTTCAGAGCCTGGCTGGCACATGCTGGCCCAATAACTCTCTAAGGAAAAGGCAGTAGCAGAGATGAAATAATAAAGATCATTCAAAACTAAAAAAAGAAGAAAAGGTCCTAGGAAAAGGCAAGACATCTTAGGCAGCAAGTTGAGTTGGGGAGCTTTCACAAGAGATTAACTTCCCACTAGATGCTGGCAGCTGGTACCAGTTAGTGGTTTGGACTACAAAAAGTACATCATAGGTCAGTGCTGGATATAAACTTTAGTCACCTTGCCCCTTCTCAGCCAGTCACAGAATCAGGGAGAAGCAGGGCTGGAAGGGACTTCCAGAGGTCATCTAGTCCAACCCCGTTGCCGGAGGCAGGACCATTCCCTATCCTGTAGTGATTCAGTGGTGTACAGTCCTAAAGCGCTCCACTATAATGAGTTGCAAATAGAGGGGATTCATTTTTAATGTAAAGATTAGGATCAGAAGGGACCAGTAGGCACATCTAGTCTGATTCCCTGTGTGACATTAGGGCCTGGCTACATGTTCAAATTAGAGCTGGCTATAAACCAGTTTAGAGTTGGTTCACATTGTTTCAAGCATTCACTTTATCGCTGGTTGGCTTTTTTATAGTTGGATAGTAATTTTTATCATGTGATGATAATTATTTTGCATGTGTGGCCGGTTTAAATTCATGAGGAGTTAACCTGTTAATTAACCAGTTAATCATAGAATCATAGAAAATTAGGGCTGGAAGGGACCTCAGGAAGTTATCTAGTCCAAACCCCTACTTGAAGCAGGACTGTCCCTAACTATCATCCCAGCCAAGGCTTTGTCCAGCCTGGTCTTAAATCTGCTTTGAAGGTTCCACCACCTCTCTGGGTAACCTGTCTCAGCACTTTACTACCCTCCTAGTGAGAGAGTTTTTCCTAATATCCAGCCAAAAACTTCCCTTGCTGCAACTTGAGCCCATTGCTTCTTGTTCTGTCATCTGTCACCACTAAGAGCAGTCCAACTCCAGCCTCTTTCAAACCCTGCTTCAGGTAGTTGAAGCTGCTATTGAATCCTCTCTCTGTCTTCTCTCCTCCAGACTAAATAGGCCCAGCTCCCTCAATCTTTCCTCATAAGTCATGTCCTCCAGCCCCCTCACCATTTTTGTTGCCCTCCACTAGACTCTTTCCAATTTTTCCACGTCATTTATGTATCGGGGGCCCAAAACTGGACACAGTACTTCAGATGTGGCCTCACCAGCGCTGACTAGAGGGAAATAATCACTTCCCTCTATCTGCTGGCAATGCTTCTACTAATGCAGCTGAGTTGCTGTTAGCCATCTTGGCAACAAGGGCACACTGTTGGCTCATATTCAGCTTCTTGTTCACTGTGGCCCCCAGGTCCTTTTCTGTAGAGCTGCTGTTTAGCCAGTCAGGCCCCAGCCTTGGGTCCCAGTCCATGGGATTGTTGTGTCCTAAGTGCAAGACTTTGCACTTGTCCTTATTGAACCTTATGACATAGGCGACTGGTAGGGGGTGTACGGGAGTGCACATGCCCCCCTTGATGGGGCCAGTGCCCCCCTGACGGCTGATGCTGTTGGTAGAGCTGGTTTCCCCCCTGACAGGGTCAGCAGCTTCTGTGGGTGCCCCCCCAGATTCAGGAGGCACCAGTCACTCATGCCTAATGAGATTTCTTTTGGATCAATCCTCAAATTTGTTGAGGTCTCACTGAATCCTAGCCCTACCCTCCAACATATCTACTCCTCCCCTCAACTTGCTGTAATCTGCAAACGTGCTGAGGGTGCGCTCTGTGCCATCTTCCAGGTCATTGATGAAGATATTGAATAAAGCTGGTCCCAGGACCGATCTCTGGGACACTCCATATGATGCTGGCTCCCAACTAGACAGTGAGCTGTTGATTAGCTCTCTTGAGCTTGTTTTCTGTCCACTTTACAGTCCATCCAGCCCGTACTTCTTTAGTTTGCTTGCAAGAAGGTTGTGGGGACTGTATCAAAAGCCTGATCAAGGTATAGCACATCCACAGGGCTAGTCATCTCACCCTAGAAGGCAGTCAGGTCGATCAGGCATGACTTGTCCTTCGTGAATCTATGCTGACTGTTCCTAACCACCACCACCTTCTTGAAATGCTTAGAAAAGGATTCCTGGAGGATCTGCTCCATTATTTTTCCAGGGACTGATGTGACGCTGACCAGTCTGTAGTTCCCGGATCCTCCTCCTTCCCTTTCTTAAAGATGGGCACTATATTTGCCCTTTTTCCAGTTAGCTGGGACATCTCCAAGTCTCCATGAATTTTTAGAGATAATGGTCAGCATTTTTGCAGCCACATCTGCGAACTCCCTCAGCACCCTTGGGTGCATCCCACCCAGCCCCATGGACTTGAGGTGAAAAAGGCATTGAGCCTTTTCAGCAACATCTGTCACTAGGTTGCCATTCAGTAAGGGACCCACGCTTTCCCTCATCTACCTCTTGTTGGTTAAATAACTTGTCAACTGCACAATAAATTTAGATGAGCTACTACCCCTGCTAAGCAATTAGCACACAATATCACAACTGGGTAATAATTACTTTGCAGGGGTGGCTGGTCTTACTTTGCATGTGGGGCTGCTCTAAATTTATGGCATGACTGCCTAGTGAATTGTGTA